GAATGTAGCATTGCCTCTAGCAAACACACTACTCTAAGTTTCGTTCAATTAACATATTTACAATCTTTTTTAAATAGAATTTCTCTTCTCCTAAAGAGAAGATAATAACCTACAAGTTGGTGTTGATGTGCCTTCAAAATTCTAATTTATTTTGAATTGAAATTATAATTCTCATTTGTCGTGAAATTTGAATAAAATTTTTATTTTGTATTGATATTTTTTTATTTTTAATTGCTATAATTTTAGAAACAAATATTACAATTTTTAATAAAATATTTACGATTTATTTTTTTAAAGTACGACTAATTAATATATTTTTATACAATATTAAAAACAAATATTACAATTTTTTAATCAAATATTGGAGTACCATTTAATTCGATACTTTACCAATATATCTTTTGAATGGAGACATTATTATCATTTATTTTTATTGTATTTATATGGAAATTATTTTGAATGGTGACATAAATATATTTAATTTTTATATATGATTTCATTCCATAAATTTGAATTCTCTTTTAATATTATAGGTTTGATACTAGGAATATTATATAAATTAGAATATATAAAGATATGAAAAAAATTAAATCAAAACTTTACAAATATATCTTTTGAATGGAGGTATTAATATTATTTATTTTTATTATATATAGAAAATATTTTGAATGGTCACATTAATACATTTTATTTTTATGCATGATTTGATTTCAAAAATTTATGATCAATAAATTTTGAATGGAATTATAATTTAACCAATAAAATTTTCTACCGACTTCTAAATATATTTGTGTATATTTTTTGAAATGTTACATTTATATTCTTGAAAAAAATAACGTAGTTTAAAGGATGTATGGTTAACTATAAATATATTATTAATAAAATTAACAAAAAAAGTATATTATAAATATATAAAAGATAAAGTAAATAAGAACTCTAATGTTTATCTTAAATATTTAATTTATCATTCTATAAATGTAAGAATAAATATTATTTTGTAATTATTTAGATCCTTATTTGACCTAAAATAAATTATTTCAATTTCTATAAAAAGGTTAATAAAACAAAACAAAATCAATTGAGATTTATAATTTTTTTAAGTTTATGAAATAACTAAAATATATCATAATCTTTTCAAATTAACTTTATAATTGTAATCATGATAAAAAAATATTAAATGGTAATCATGAAAATTTAATGATAAATGATAATCATAAAAATTTATGATAAAACAAAAAATTATTGATACAATCATTTTAATAAATTAAATAATTTATAATTAATTTTATAAAGGTGAATAAATTACAAATAATTTTATAAATGTAATAAATTAAACTATTTATAAAATTATTTATATCAATAATAGTAAATTACATATATTTTAATAATGGACACACGAATTCAACATGCTTATAAACCGGAAAAAAGTTACAATAATTTTATAAACAGAAATAAGTTAATATCATTTTATATAAATTAATGGTATAATATAATGTATTAAATATTTATATAACACTTTATTAAATAAATTTATTTCATGAAATTAATTTTATATGATATCATTAATATTTAATTATTGAAAATTTGCAATAAACTGAAAAATATTTATTACAAATCGAATATATTAAAACATAAGAAATAAATACATAATTTTGAAATGTTATATATGATTCATTGTAATAATAAATGTTAAATTATTATTTAATATTATAATAAATTTTCCGATATTCTTAGATTTAATTTATTCTTTTTCCCGTATATAATAATAATATTATATTATTATTTAATATTATAATTTTTTATTGAGAATAATAAATTCATTTTAATTAGTTAGACATTAAGATAATAAATTTAATATATATCACTAATACACGATATTTATTTATAAATGTAATTAACTAAGAGACACATATTTATCACTGTTGAATAAATAAATTTAAGATGATATGGTAAATATTTATTTTTACAATTATTTTTATAAACTTAAATAACTTACAAATATTTTTATAAACGAACAAAATTCAAATATTGATGTAATTGTTTTTAACATGAATAAGTTAAAATGTTTTTATAAATTGTTACACGGGTTAAAGACACTTATAACCGAGAAAAAAATCTACATATTAATATAATTAATTTTACAAACTAAAAATAAATTATAATAATTTTTATAAACATGAATAAATTATAAATATTTTTATAAACCGGAAAAATTCAAGTATTGATACAATTATATTTATAAAAGAGTATAAGTTTCATATATTTTTATAAATAGACACACGCGTTCATTTTTATAAACGAGAATAATTTAAAATTATTTTTATAAATGAGAAATTCAAATTTGATAAATGATTATATATTGTAATTATATTAATATTACCCAACTGAGTACATGAAATAAATTCACGGGTAGAATAAATGTATCTATGATATACCAGATAATTGAAGTTAAAGAATTGAATGTACTGTTTTAAATGACAATTAAATTATATTTTTAAATACAAATCGACAAAATACCTGTGCCAACGCTTGACAACTCAACTTGCAACATCGACAAAGACATCGAACATTCTCAATTATTTGAAGCAACGGATGTGATAATATGGGATGAGGCACCTATGTCTCACAAGAACTGCTTCGAAGCATTGGATAAAACCCTTAAAGATGTAATGAGCAAAAAGGGTGTTGAGAATACTATTTTTGGTGGAAAAGTTGTTGTATTTGGAGGAGATTTTAGACAGATTCTTCCTGTTGTTCCAAGAGCTGGGCGTTCTGATATTGTTCATGCATCAATTAGTTCATCTTATGTATGGGATTATTGCCAGGTTTTAACACTATCAAAAAATATGAGACTTCAAGAGGGAAGAGACAACACAAGTTCTAATGAACTAGCGGAATTTTTAAAATGGATTTTAAATGTGGGTGATGGTAAGATTTGTGAACCCAATGATGGTTTGGTTGATATTGAAATTCCTCAAGAGCTATTAATATCAAATTTTGATGATCCTATAAGAGCAATTGTTGAAAACACATATCCCAATTTGTTGGAAAAATATCAAGATGTTGAATTCTTACAAGGAAAGGCTATTCTTGCTTCAACCATTGAAGTTGTGGACAAAATCAATCATTATGTATTAGACTTGATACCAGGTACATGCGTTTTATATTTACTGTATTATTACATTCATAATATATATATATATATATATATATATATATATATAAAAGAACATAGTTTTACTAATTTATTTATGTTTTGCTTTTAAACTTTTTTTTAGGAGAAGAGAAAGAGTATTTGAGTTTTGATTCCATGGATAGAACAGATTCAAGTTATACTGAAGCATATGAAGTTCTAACTCCTGAATTTCTCAGTAAATTAAGAACGTCAGGGCTTCCCAATCATAAGATCAAATTGAAGGTTGGTACACCTATTATGCTAATGAGAAATTTGGACCAAGCCGATGGATTGTGCAACGGAACAAGATTAATTGTTACAAGATTTGCAAATCATGTCATTGAGGCAAAAATCATGTCTGGAAAGAACATAGGTAACATTTTTTACATTCCACGAATGTCTATGTCACCTTCTGATTCACCTTGGCCATTCAAGTTAATTAGGAGACAATTTCCGATTATTGTCTCCTATGCAATGACAATTAATAAGTCACAAGGTCAATCTCTTGATAGTGTTGGATTGTATTTGCCTACTCCTGTGTTTAGTCATGGTCAATTATATGTTGCAATTTCAAGAGTTAAGAGCAAAAGTGGGCTAAAAATCCTAATTCATGACAAGGAGAATGTACCGTGTTCTACTACTATTAATGTTGTGTACAAGGAAGTCTTTCAAGCACTTTGATAATTGGTAAACTTTATATCTTATACTTTACGATTCAAATTAAAAATCTATTTTGAATTAAAATATATACTATGTACATTTTCCATGTATTTCAAGAAGTATATAATTTTTCCTATTTGTTCATGCAGACATGATTTGTTGATAGAACCGACGCTTACTACAAATATGGAGTTAAATGCCAACATGGTTTACATGAGACATATACTCAACTGAAAATATGGTAACATACTTAATAATTTAATAATCTATAAATGTAATGTGAATTCAGACACGGGTTTGTTACTAGTTTATAATATACGTGATATTGGAAACGGAAAAGGCGTTAAAATTTTTTGAACTTCCCACTAAACATATTTCCAAGCTGAAATAATTTTAAGTGTGCGTGAGATTTTCAGCTTAAACCCTAAAACCCTGATTCGAACTCCATAACCAAATTATTCATGAAATTGATGCAATTTCACATATCATTCACTTGATTCGTTGTTTGAATTTTGTTTCAACATAATTTATTCTTGGGTTTTATTTGTCCATGATTCTCCGCGTATTTTAGGATTTATCTGTTTTCATTTCTTCCGATTTATCAGCAGTGCTCTGATTTGAATATGATGGAAAAAGAATAGGGGAAGCATATAAGTTTCAGGAGAGTCTCTTCTCTATGGTTTCAATCTTTAACCATATTCTTCAGTTCGCTACTGACCACCATTTGTCTCTTAATCAACCACAATCTCCTTTCAATCTTTAGCCATCACAAAACTCTTCATCTCTTTCACCGCCATAATAATCCGTCCAGATCTGGCCACTGCCATTTCTGAACACAAATCACCAACAAAAATCTCATGAACCATCAACCTTTACTCTGGAGTCTACTGTGATTCTACTCTCTGAACTCTCCCAGGCACATAAATTTTGTTCATGACATGCATAAGTTAGGGATTTATAGTTGGTCGCATTAAATTAGGGATTTTGGAGTTAGATAAGTTGATTTAGCAGTTAAGGTTTATTTTCCTTTTACGTTCTGAATTTAGTTAGAGTATTTGTTGTTGATTTTGATTTTAAAGGCATGGAACAACACTGCTGCTTTGAGCACAATACTTTTCAACAACGGTTCAAAACTTGAGTCGGGTGGTGTGCGATAGCGAAGACTATGAAGCTGAGGTTAATGGCGAAGGAGCCAGCGAGGACTGTGAAGGAGATTCTTGGAACGTGTGTTTCTGTTTGTGTACTGTTGATGGGAAGGATCCAAAGGATTTGCAACAGGAGATCAATGATGGTGATGTTGAAATCCTCGGGATTTATTTTTTTTAAACTTTGTTATCTTTTGATCAAGCCATATTTTTTGCTAAATAACCAGATTTCACATTCCATGCCATTTCTTGGTGAATCTACCTACACATATACTTCCTTTACGTGAATTTGGTTGGGCTATTATGTTCATGATCTTCTATTATCAAACTCTCAAAATTAGAGTTCTATTCAAATTGGAGGCTTCGTGAGTAATCAAACTCTCAAAATTGCAGTTCTATTAAGTACTATGTGCATTTGCAGATACCTGTTGGTGTCTGATTGTGTTAATTGCAAGTTTGCAGCATTTTCCAAAATTTTATGCTCTTCTCATAGGTAGCCTCTTTTTGACGGTCATCGACACATTGCACATCCATTTTTACTTATTGTTTCCCTCTATTCGGAGTGTTGTAGTGTTTAATCTTTCTTTACCCCCTCACCTACATTTCTGATACAAAATGTTCAAATTTATCAAATGTGGTGCTCTATGGCTATGTAAAGACTGCTTCGTCTATTTGATGAATCTGATTAATATGGCTATGTTGATAATATGTTATTTATCGTTCATTTTGACCTTTTTTTCGTCATCAGCAATTCCACAACTTATTTTCTTACATATATTCTATGGGACATATTGTTGATATGCAGTTTGAATGGTCCTAAGATGCACTGTACTGTATACACTAAGATTCTTTCGTCACCAGGTTTGCACCTTTGACTCATTTTCCCTCTTTCCTGTTATCTTTATTGATAATCAACAAAGAAGACCTATATTCAGTAAATGGATCTAATTTTTCTATGAATTTGTGTTCAGCAAAATCTTAGATATCTTACAATTAAAGTTCAGGTTTCCTATGAATTGATAGTAACGATAGTTTTTTAACATAGTATTCTAGAACTTTTCATAAACATTATTTCTTTTTACTGACATATTTTCCCAAGTCTTTGTTTAAGAATATTTGATCAAGACGATGGTGCTAATGGGCATGGCAAAGAGAATGATTAGAAGCTGATTTTGTCTTGATTAAAATTGAAAAACAAATAGATAAGATTCAATTTTTTGTAATTTTCTTATAGTTTTATATGCAATATTTTATTTTTGTTTTGATACTCTTAACTATCTTGTAGTTTGAATGTTTGTAAGTCTTGAAAATAAATTTCACGTTTAGGCTGGAGATAGTACGTAGAAAAAACAAAAGAAGAAATGTGCGCAATTGAGAAATAAGAATGTAAAAGGAGATGATGAACTAAGCATGGACAAGACTATATCTGATTTGAAAGATTTATATGGTGGAATCTTGGCTGAATCCACTGTGAAAGGGTGGAAAATTGACCAGTTAAGAAGTTCTGTTGATTCAATGTGGGGATTTTTCAATAAAATTGGATTCCCTATTTCTAAACTTAATGAGTGAATTTACTATTTGAAAATGAACTATGTTACAATTTTGGTTTGAAACTGATATGTTGTGGTCAGATTGTGATTTTCATGTAGTTGGTATGTGCTATTTTGCTTGGTTTTGTGCAATATCAGAACTCTTCAATATTTTTACCTCACCGGTTCCGCGTAAAATCAAACAGTTAATAAGTTCTGTTGATTCAATATGAGTATTTTTCAGTAAAATTGGATTCCCTATTTCTAAACTTAATGAGTGAATTTACTATTTGAAAATGATCTACGTTACAATTTTGGTTTGAAACTGATATGTTGTGGTCAGATTGCGATTTTCATGTAGTTGGTATATGCTATTTTGCTTGGTTTTGTGCAATATCGGAACTCTTCAATATTTTCACCTCACCGGTTCCGCGCAAAATCAAACAGACTTCGATAGTGATTTTTATTATTCATGGCTTCTTCGATAATCATCCTGAAGATGTTTTGGAATCACTCATATGGATGAATCTGTCATATGGATGAAATAAATCTGCAGTTATCTATGCTATGAATAATCGAAGATTTCTACTGACATATTTAATATAATTCTTTTCATTATATTGATTATTTTGTTTATCATAAATTGAAACTATTTTTGATTTTGTTTTGTTCTATTTTGTTTTATTTTGTTCGATTTTATGGTTTGTATACTGAGATCTATATGAGTGTGTATGTTGTTGATGCTCTCAATCCAGCCTCTAATACCGTCAGAGAAACTGTTGCTGCACTTTCATTTCAATGTAGCCTTTCTCTCATCTCTGACACTGTTTTTGGAATTTTTGAATTGTTGTTCAGCTATGCTTCTCACTAGCATAACATCACAGACATTATTAGTATTTGCATGCTTAGTTTCTAAAATGCTTTCTTATAAAATAAGACATCTAATTTTGAGTTATATATGAGATATTTGATTTAAACATGTTTTGAGTTGCAGCATGACAGAACCAGCAACAAACATTCTCAGTATTCAGATAAGCTAGCTTTGAACATGTCATTTTTATATAAAGAATAGGACACGTGCTCACTATGGCTGGCACATGAATCAAGATGGTGAAAATGTTTAAAGTGATTCTCTTTAGTTTTTTAATATATTTATTGGCACCATGTTGATGAATAATTAATTAGTTAATTTAGTTACATGATAATATTTAGTTTTATCTGTGTTTAGACATTTGTGGTTGAGTTTATAATTAAATATTTTTTAGAGAGAAGTCATGGGGCAACCGCAACCATGACTACTACAATAGGTACAACAACTCTTTTGTAATATTCATGTGTAAATTGAATCCCACAAATAGAATATATATGTAACTTGACAGGAGAATGGTTTTTGCTAATTAGCTTAAGCTTATTGTAGCCCTATGTCCACCAAGAGCTTGAAACGAAAGGAAGTCTTTACTACATGCCTTGCACTTAAAAGCATCACTCTTATAACAAGTGTTAGCCATGTCTATCTTATCATTATTTCTTACTCTCTTCATGGTTTTCTAAATCATGTAGTGTACTTAATGAGTGAATTTGTTTGAAATTGAAATTATGAACAAGAGATATTTATAGGTTTATGAGAGGGTACAAGTGGGAAATGTAAGGATGTTTCATATTATTTTTATTTTGTACTCTCAATCTTAATTGAGTTACAATTAAGATTAATAGTGTTATGTAATAATATGAGGATTAGTAGATAGAGATATGATTGCTTCGGCTTCTACGCGTTTCCCTCGCCCATTTTATTTCTCTTTGTCTATTATCAACCATTCAAATTTTTATTTTAAATGTTTTTTATAATATTGAATATTTTATTCAAAAATGTTTTATAAAGTTTTTTTTTTCTTTTTAAAAGAATTTTAAAAAATTGGTTTAAAGAATTTCTTATAAAATATTATTTTAGATATTTTAATAATTTGTTATAATTTCTTATAGGTATAAAAATGTAAGGTATAAAAGTTTTGCATGATTGCATCATGTAAAGACCTTAGCATGATTTCAATATGTTGGTTGTTTATAAAGTTAATGAAATTTTTGTCCTATACAATTTCATGAAAGTTGCGATTGAGAAGATGATGATTATACTTCCATATTAAATATATATAATTATTTTTGTCTTCAATACCATGTGTTGAATATATAACCTTCCATTTGTATATTTTATTTTTAAATTAAATTAAAATTTTTAATCTAATAAAAAATAATATTGTTATTAATAGACTACATATATATATATATATATATATATATATATATATATATATATATATATATATATATATATATATATATATATATATATATATATATATATATATATATATATATATATATATATATATATATATATATATATATATATATATATATATATATATATATATATATATATATATATATATATATATATATATATATATATATATATATATATATATATATATATATATATATATATATTCATTTTAATATTTATCTTTTGAATATTTTTTTATGTTGTTTTATATAATTAAAATTAGAGAATCGATTGAACAATTTATTATAAATACAGATCAATGACTAAAAGTTTGTGCAAATTATTAGCATATATTTATAACTATGTGATTGTTAACCAATTTAAGAATAAATTGGAACTTTACAAATCATGGTTTAGTAAATGTGTGATGTGAAATCAAACGGGATTCGTGCGATAGTACGAGTTTCTTACTAGTTTTTAACATAAAACAAAAGAGATTCGGTTATAAACTAGTAAGAAACTCGTGCTACCGCACGGGTCCTGTCTGGATTCACATTACACGTCTACAAAACTATCATTTGTAAAGTTTGAATTTAATTTTTAATTGGTTAACATTTACATAGTTACAAATATAGGTTAATAATATGCACTTATTTTTAAGTATTGATCCGTACTTATAGTAAATCCTATAATTGATTCTCTAACTTCAATTATATTAAACAGTAACAAAAGAAAGATTTAAAAGATAAACATTAAAATTAAAATTTTACAGCTAGTATCTCATAGATACATTCACATCTACCCGTGAATCCAGATGAGTTAACAAATCACAGTTGAATCCAAATGAGTTAATTCTAAAAATTTATTAAACCTATTTTAGATATAACTCATTTTTCCAAACCTAAAATGTATGACAGTTTCCCGTCAAATTTCAGTTTTAAAACTTTCTTATTATATCATATTTATATTTTTTTACAATCTACAATGTATGATAGTTCTCTGTTAAATTACAAACCTAAAACCTTCTTATTAGATCATATTTACATTTTTTACAAACATAAAATGTATGATAACACCCCGTCAAAATATAATAAACTATGTAAAATATGCTCATGCAAATTCAACATGGAGATTAAAATCAAACCTATAACCTAATCTTCAATAACAATCTTCAAAATAATAAAAGAAAATTAATCATATATAAATTTATTGTAAAATTTTATAAAAAATATAAGTTAAAGAACCAAAAAAATATCATCAATTTTCTATTAAAAACGTGAGAGCGGATCAAAACTTTTTAAACTTAAAATAGAGATACTACTTTCGTGAATCAAATAAAATTAGAGATTAAAATTGTAATATAGCTTTTTATATTCTAGATAAACCAAGTATTTTGGCAAAAAAAATTATTAAACATCTACCAAACTATCATTTGTAAAGTTTGAATTTATTTTTCAATTAATCAACATTCACATAG